AAACTTTATAACTTGGTTATTCGAACTTCTTTGAGCTTATCTTTTTTATTGTTTCTTTGTAATAAGGGCTATTCATTGACGTATCACGTTTCAAATTTTGATGTCATAAAGTTATAATTTTTAGCTCTAAAGTAGATTATTTGATGAAATAAATGAAAAATGATCAAACTTTAAACATTCATAACTTTTTATACACATTCCATTCAAGCTCTTTTTTCATTTATTTATTTATTTGTAATAAAAGCTCTCCATACACATATCACACTTGAATTTTGGATATCATAAATCCGTACTATGTAAGATCCAAAATATGGTAGCTGATGTTTTTTGAAAAATTTCCAAAGACCACCATTTTTCATATGGATATCGGAAAACCGTACTTCTACTATGTATTATTGTTAGATATTAAATAAAAGCTTAAATTAGGGTATAACACGTAGCCTTATAACATAAAAATGACTATTAAACTTGATTACATAAATAGTTGTGATAATTCTTCAGAACTACAAATGCATGCATAAATTATTCAGTTACAAAGAGGGTAACAAGACCAATACTTCGTTTGGTAATTCCCATTGAGGCAGATGTGACAAAGGATTCACCATCTCAGTTTAATATGCAACTCGATACAAGTCATTAAAATTAACCATTTAGTGAATGTTTGACATGCTAAACAATTGCATTACCGTTATCACGTGCTGAAAAAGCATACCATATTTTTTCCATTTCCCATATATACAAGTCGTAATCGAGATGTACAATTCCGGTTTGCAAAAATTCCATTACTTCTAGGTTGAAGCTAGAGATGTGTTTAGTTTTGTCAACCAGATTTCATACTTGCACATCCTCTCTTCAAGCATCGTCTCAACATAAGGGGTGAGATCACTAAAGAGCCCCTTCTGCAAATTGTTTTTAGGATTATTGTCATTCAAAGCTTAAAAGTAGTTATATATCCATAGATAGCGATAATAACTCTATAAATATTTATTTACATCCAATGTCACTACATTGAATATACACTTGTTGACTCCTCACATATAACCTTAATGACCGTTGTTATCGATAAATCTTGTCTGCCGACCGATAACATTTCCACAACCACATGAATATCAAATGAGATTACATTGTCAATGACCTTAGGGAAAAGGGTCATTTCCCATTTCACATGAGAAATATTTTCAAGCCAAACAAGTTCATTCTTGTTAACTTGATTATCGATTACATATTAAAGTCTAGCCAAATACACATCAAATTCATACATTCTATACGTTTTGCATGTACGCCAGAAAAACTATTTCCACTACTTTATTGCGTCCAATCCTAGACCTTAATTAGCAACCACATTATACAACAATACCCATACTACGAATATAGGAAGACACGACTAAAGGTAAAGTCTATGGAATTACATATAACGCTTATGAAGGCAATGTTTCCTAACATCCTTAAGACATTCCTTCAGGCTCCTTAGGAACCAAGACAAAAATTTAACACTCTTTATCATTCCTAAACTAAATGTTGTAAGTAAGAAGGCATGATTTCCATCTATAGCAACTGATATGAACATTGAGTGTAAGTAGTTCCCATTTATAAGGACAATACCTATAAATAATTAAAGATCATAACTAGCATGCACCTAAGAAATGTATGAATCTACAAAAGAAATGGTGAAACTTATACTGAAAATAATATATATATATATATATATATATATATATATATATATATATATATATATATATATAAAATAAAAGCATCTTACCATACATCCTAAAGCCACAAATTAAACAAAACTAAAAACGGTTCATCACATCTTTCTTGATGTTTGTTAGGGTATTGGGATTGGTTTTCTCAAGATTATGAAAAAATACTAGTAGGTTGGACAATCTTTGTTCGTGCACTCCATATGATGAACTCATTCTCAAATACAATGATATAATTGAAACTAGTTGGAAGAATAATGATTACAAAGAGAGTTTAATAAAACACATTTATAGAACCCATGCATAAGCATTTTGGTGGAACATCCCTGTTAAAATGTCAATTCATATTAAAATTTTGAAATACGTAGTCAAATTTTCTAATTTCATAGTCAAGATGTGAAAGTGTGTGATAACATAGGCAAAAGCGTCACCGACCACCGTTAGAAATTGACGTAGACAAATAAGTTTAATAGGACAACGATGTAATATTTTAATGTATCAATAAATATATTCAATTACTTCCTTACCAAATACGATTATTTCGACTAAAAGGCTCATAAATAAATGCGCAAAAAGTTGTGTCATCTTCTGAGCAGGTTAATGCATTCGGAATATACGTGTCAGCGTGATTCCAAAAATATAAATTTCGTAAAAATCCAACCTAACATGAAGGATATATGATTTTTATAATATATAAAAATCAGTCGTTCATAAAAAGTTACAACATCAAAATTTACGAGAAGAATGGTTGATTTCTAGCTAAAGTCACCAAAAGGAAAATCGAAGTACCCCTTAAAATAGGAATTTTGAGACTAAGAATGCCAAAAATGGAACATGTATGGGAGAGTTATGATTTTTGAAAAATCATAGTGAGTATAAAATATAGGCTAAGAAAGAAAGTTAGAATTAGTCAAAACGACGAAAAGAAAAGTTGTAGTACACGTCAATACCTACGCGGGATATAAGAAATATCGAAAATAGAGCTCGTTCACAGAAGTTACATGATTTAGAAAACCGATTTTCATCACACGTGCAAGCGTCATGCGTTTTTGACCTCGAGATTCTTCCGGATACTGGTGATGTGGCACACTGAGATAAGGACACGTGACAACTCCCTCATGGAGCCATACACACAACGCACACCACGGGACGCGCGCTTCAAAACTTCCTATAAATAGAAAGGTTCATCAAATCATTTTGTACACCTACACTTATCATTGTCTCTCGACTTTCGAGCCTTCTTACCCCCCCCCCTAATGGTCCCCCAGCTTTCGATGATCCGACACCACGCCCTGGGTATTGAAGCATGCTTCAAGGGTGAGTTAACGATCTCACTTTTACAGTTTTAAAAAGTTTTATAGGGGGAATACATGTTATAATAGTATACTATTGATTTTTTTAATTATTGCTAATTGTATAGTGTTAGTGATATAATTATGCTTAGAATGTTAAGGTAATATTATGTCTGGTAGATATCCTACCCAACTTTTAGGATAATATTATGCCTAGTTGTTACACTGACCAACCCTTCGGGATAACATTGTACCTAGTCATTATGCTGGTCAATTTCTAGGAAACATTATACCTAGTCATTACCTTAGCCAACTTTTGGGATAACATTATACCTGGTTGTTATTATGACCGAATATCCTACTGGTATAAACTATACTAGCTTAATTATATAAAGGATAATTTATATAATAAGTGTAACTAACACAACAAGAGAAAGAAAAGTGTCTGATACGACAACACATAAACATTTGTTAAATGAGACGCTATTCATCCCTTAGCAAAATAACCTTTAGCTAACCCTGAACTATAATTGTTAAATCTTAAGTGGGAGGAAGAGGTATGTATATATCTATACGGGGCTGACACCCCTACCTGTGGTTCCTAGCTACAACCTTGATGTTCGAGTCACAACAAGCATAACTTTCTAAACTTTTGTGATGTCTGATGAAGCGTTGTCTCAGGGAGATTCAACTTGATGAACTTGATTATAGGAACTCATTGTAACACTGTTTAGCCTTCACTAACGAAAACTACTAATAAGGATAAACCTAAGAAGTAGTGATATTATAACAAAATCAAGGATGTGAGTTCAGAATATTAACAGTACCTACAAACCATTATACAGTAAAACCATACAAACACTTTAAAATACTAAACCTGTAAACTCACCAATATTATGTTTACCTTTCAAAACCACATGTATTCTCATAAGAATGAGTACTTGGAGTGAAAAACGTGTTGGGGGATAACATCAAGAGTATCGTTGGAAGCATTTGTTCTCTAATTATTTACTTTGCATATGTCTTGTAATTGTACCTCAAAAAATTATGTAACCTATATTATAAAATAAGTAAAAGGTAGTGTTTACATGATAAATACAGTGTGTTGCTCTATAATCATGTTGTATGTGATCCAACATTTTAACATCGAACAACACGACGCTTTCGCCGCCAGCCAGGGGTATTACAGTTTGGTATCAGAGCTATAGGTTATAGCGAACTAGTGATTCCTTAGGAACTAGCACTATAACCTAGGGCTTACACTCTAATTAGGTTTAACCCTTAAGCCTAATAAATAAAAGTATTATTATTAATTACCCTACTAATAGACTACTTACAAGAGAGGTGACTAGATTGAACTTGTCGCATGGGTTGTTGGATTTCAGAATGACTATATGCTAAAATGGTCTTGCCCTCTGACACTTCATACCTGGCTGATCCTTACTTGATAGTCTTGAAGTACAAAACAAGAATTAGTAAAATACACTCAACAAAACAAAAATTTATATATATATATATATATATATATATATATATATATATATATATATATATATATACTCTTTAGTATAGTACAACGACCGTACCACAACTAGACCTAGAATGCGAAACGAAGTTTTATTATGGTCCGACCGACACATGATTGAACTCAGATACAATAGTTTTCCAACTAAACACTTGAGGACTTATGTATTGGATACTTAGTTTTGAGGATTCCTATACTTCGGGACTTCTATCTTATAGATTTCTATACTTAAGGGCTTCTGGCTTAGAGGTTGGTATAATCGAGGATTTCAGGATTAAGGACTTAGCTTTGAGCTAATTGGGAATTCAGGATTGACATTATAGTAGGGAGTCGAAAGAAATACGTGTACCATCTATTACATACTTATAATTGAAAAGTATTTGTATTGTTTTCATTCTCATGCCATCTCTCATAAACATCTACCATGTTTGGTGTATTATGCATGATTATCGAATCATCATGGCTAATATAGGGATTTGAATGATGGTTCCCCCTCTGGAAGAGGATCAAGTAGTGCCCCATCCAGCAAACTATGAGGACACACATTCCTTGACAGTCCTAACACTACTCACACCCTTGGTTTTGAAGAAGGAGCTGATAGAGGATGATGACATTGAGGAGGTTAACGGAGCCGTGGATTCAGAGGCCTTTGAGCCCTCTGGAGATGATACTACCAGCGAGGAGTCAGAGCATGTGAGCTCTGATTATGAACTAAAAGATGTTGGGTACACTGCTACATCATCCTTGGAGGTCTTGTCATCACTACCACCACCATCCCATGGGTTTTTCAGGCTACACATCATATGACCTCAGACTAAAAATTCCCCGATGAAATCAACTCCTATTCCTTTGAGGAAGAGGCTTGTGTCACCCCCATCATCCAAGATGCCATGTCGTGAGTATTAGTGGACGCCATCGGTTAGCGAGTGGTAAGAGGATGTCGACATTAGGTTCCATTACGTGGTAGTAGAGTCCTCCAGAGCCCCAACACCAGCCCCTGTCTTTAAGACTCCAATCGAGTATGCCATATCAATACTAGTGCCTCGTACAACACGACACTCAGACAGGATGGACTCGGTAGAGTCAGAGTTTATTATAATGAGGAGGGAGATTAGGTAGCTATATGAGCGAGTTTAGTATCTGGAGGAGGAGCAGGATGTTATTGGGATGAGGACTTTGCTAGTTCATGATCATTTGGAGGAGGCGCGTGCAAAGATTCAGGTTCAACAGTTAGTGATGGAGGAGATGGTGAGCCATGCTGAGATGATGTAGCATAGGATCATGGAAGCCGAGACGGTAATATATGTATCGGATATGAGGATCGACTATGTGTACCATCAGCTAGTGCAGTTGATTGCATTTTTTATTATGTCTTTTGTACTTTAGTGGATAGCCCTAACATGGTTTTCTAGGAGGGATATTTTGGGTTAGGATATGTGGAAAAGTTTGCAAGATTATAGTATGCTTGTTCTTTTGTGTAAAATACTATACTTTTCCTATCCTGACCACATATTTTGAGTAGTTTAGGAAACCACATCGTAAAAGCATCGTTGTATATATAAAAGTTAGGGTTTCATGAAATAAATGTTTCCTTTAATTTTGCACTAACAAACTTACTTGACTAAATATTACGATGTCTCAATATATATCATATGACACATTGTAACATCCTGATTTTTAAAGAAATTTTTTCATTTTTATTATAGAAAAAACCCAAATATCATAAAAACCAATTTAATAAAATCCTAGGTACATCAAATACAATCATCCTAATCAGAGTACCAAAATGCGAAATCATAAAAATCTACAATCCGTAGTGTATAGTCAAGTGTTCTCCTTTTCGTGATCATCCGAAGTACTTGAAACACATTAGTCCACAATTGTAAGCACATATCTTAGTGAGTCCTTCCCAAAATATACATACAACATAGCAAAACAAACAATTATTGGTTATTGGCAACCCTGGGGATTATCGACAATCCCGGTGAGCTAACAACATACTTAGGAGATTAACAACACGTTTCAGGGGTTATTAGCAACCTTGGGGGATTTTAGTAATCCTGAAGTTATCAATAATTTTATCCAATTCAAATATAACAACAACAGAAATTAAGACCCAGCTGGTCAGCACACATATCTATCACACATATAACTGATAGTTTCATTTTATTTACTTCTTTTTATAGTTTATTTCAGCACATTGCATCTCATTTTAGTTAATCTTCATGCATATTTTCTCTTTTGGTTATTTTTCTCCTTTACCGGGTGCTTTCCAGTCTTTTGAACTTATTTGTAGGATTTATCGAAGACTATTTGTCATTTGAGGTTTTCGAAGGAGTGCGGGACTTTTGGAGGCGTGCAATTTGTTCATGGACTTGAGGTGGTACAATTGGGCTCGGTGTCAATATAAGCAAGAAGCACATTGGACTTAATCTTTGGACAAGAATTCGAGCTACGATAGATTGAAGGAGCGTTGGATCATTATTGGAGGTTGTGGAGTAACACAATTGGGTTATCAAGACTTGCACAAATGATCTAGAGCATAAAATAGAAGATTAGGTTGGATGGTATTTGTAATAGGCCAAAGCATGCATTCAACGTGACCCACGCGGTCCACGTGAATTATGCTGAATTGATCCTGAGTTTTGACTTGTCGACTCTATTTGTGGAAGTTTGGTGGGTGGCCTTTGGCACCTTTTTGAATCCGGAAATGAGCCCCTTTATGCTGGGGATTAGGGGTATTGTTGCAATCTATCACTTGAAGAACACACACAATTTTCTATCAAGAAGGCTTTGGAAGATTTGAAGATTTTTGAAGACTAGTGTAATGTCTTTCCATCTTGAAACTAGAACAATGTGTGGTACCACTAAACTATATTGCATTTCTTTTACTTTGGCCATGCTTGGCTAAACTTTCATTTGGTTGATTAGGGTTTAACCCATGGATGATTAGTTGCTTTGAAGACTTATTATTATCTTGTGTTTGAAGTTTATGGAAATGCTTTCTAGTTAAACATCTTGTTGTGTTTATTTATCTTTGATCATGAGCTTAGATGAATGAATGCTTATTTTTGTTGACTAATTTCTTGGTTAAGTAATGGACCCTCAAATTAGTAAGCAACAAATGGTTTATATGTTTGTTTTCATTTCATTTAGACCATGAATGTTTCCTCCATAATGATAATGTAAGCATTTGATTATCTTTTGGACTTGTTGACTCTTAGAACTTAAAGCTAATTGAATTTCACAAGATTATATGCTTCATTGATTTTGTGACTTTAATTAAGGAAATGTGTTAAGAACTCCTCTAGCCATTTTAATATCTACGAAGAGTTGAGGTAATTTATGCTTATGAATTGCTATAGCCAAGTTAAACCAATTCAAAAGTTATTCCATTTAGTCTAATGATAAATCAACCATGTCATCCATGTGGTTTACCCAAGATCAACCAATTTCACTTCATTGAAATTAATCAAATCTCTTACTTGTTTACTTGTCATATTTACATTCTAGCTAGTTTTAATTTTGTCAAACAATAAAAAAGAACTACCCCCCTATTTTACTTTTACTTTTGTTTTACAAGTACTTGAACAAGTGATTTATATAGAGATTTAAATTGAAAAATCTCCATGGATGCGATCCCTTTACCACTATACACTATTTTAGTGTGTAATATTTAGGGTATTTATTTTGTTGGCCTCGCCAACCACCAAATTTTGGCTCTATTATCGGGGATTGGTTTATTTTTAATCAATTTGTTTCTCTATGCCCACATCTCAGGGTACAGGTGACTTGATTTACAACCCAGAAATTGAAAAAGAAGCAAGGCGTTTGGCAAAGGAAAAGCGAGTTGAATGTGATCAAACTTCTAATCCTCACGGGGATCCAGAGGTTGAACCCTCTTCATCAAGTGATACGGAACCCGATTCTAGTCCCGACCCTCGCCAAGAAATTCCCGAAACACCACCCCTACAACAAAATCCACCCATTATTGAACCAATTGCAATGGCGGACGGAGGAGAAGTTCCCGAAAGAACTTTGAGGAAAATGATGGAAACTGATGTTACACAAACTCCAACCGGTATCAATTACCTGGTTTTCGAAGGAGGTTCGGAATTGAAGTCAATTTTAGTTCATCACCTCCCCACTTTTCATGGATTGGATAATGAAGACCCTCATAAGAATTTGAAGATTTTCCACATTATTTTCACTAGCATGAAGCCACAAGGGTCAACCGATGACCAAATCAAGATAAGGACATTCACCTTTTCATTGGCCGATAGAGCAAAGGATTGGTTATTCTATCTTCCCCCGGGGTTGATCAACTCATGGACCGACATGGCAAGAGATTTTCTTGATAAGTTATATCCGGCTTCAAGAGTATCAAGTCTTAGAAATGAGATTTGTGGAATCCGCCAAGTTCAAAATGAGACTTTTCATGATTCTTGGGAAAGGTTCAACAAGTTGTGCTATAGTTGCCCACACCACCAAATTCCGGAACAACTCCTCATTCAACACTTCTATGAGGGATTGTTGTCAATGGAGAGGAGACTAGTTAATGTCTCAAGTGGTGGATATGTATTTAGTAAAACTCCACAACAAACAAGACAACTCTTCAACACCATTGCCATAAATTCTCAACATTTTGGCCCTCGCCAAGATATGAAGAGAGACACACAACACAAAGTCAATGAAGTGGGATCATCAAATCTTGAGTCTCAAATCAAAGATTTAACCTCCGTTGGTTAAAATCTAGCCATGGGACAAACTCCACAAGTGATGGTTTGTGGGATATATGCAACAATGGGAGATCCTACGGATATGTGTACCATTCTTCAAGAAGATGTGAAACATGTAAATTCCACGGAAGAGTTCCAATACCACAACAAGCCATCCGGTTACCAAAATTCTTACAATTCAAGTTGTAAGCCAAATCCAAACATGAGCTACAACCCAAGACCATTTCCTCAAAATGCATTGGTTAGACCCTCCTATCCACCACTACAACCTCATTACTAACATCCACAACCACACTATTACCCCAAACTGAACCCTCCACATCACCAACAACCTCCTCAATCCCAACCCGGTAGCTTCGGAATGTCCCTTGAAAACATTGTCAAATCCCTAGCCACTAGTACCAAACAATTCCAAAAAGAGACAAGGACTAGTATCTCCAACCTTGAAGCACAAATGGGAGATATAGTTACATCCATAAGCAAGTTGGAGTCCCGTGGTAAACTCCCTTCTCAAACCGAAAAGAACCCAAATGTCAATGTGGTGACCTTGAGAAGTGGCAAACAAACCAGTGAAAGTAGTTCAAAGAAGAAGCCAAGGGATGAAGAGGAAGAAATAGAAGTCATTCCCATTGAAGAATCTATAGTCAAGAATGATGCACAAGTTGGAGTCCCAAAGAAGACAACCACTCTAGTGACTCTAATAGCCACTCAACCGCCATTCCCCTCCCGACTTACAACTTCAAATAAGAAAATGGATGAGAAAGAGATTTTGGACACCTTCCGTAAGGTGGAAGTAAACATTCCTTTGCTTGATGCAATCAAACAAATTCCTAGATATGCAAAGTTTTTGAAAGAACTTTGTACCAACAAGAAAAAGTTGAAGGGAAATGAGAAAATCTCAATGAACGAAAATGCATTTGCAGTTTTACAAAGGAATCTTCCACCCAAGTGCAAAGATCCGGGAATGTTTACGGTTCCTTGCAAGATAGGAGATGTAACTTTTAGTAGTGCCCTACTTGAACTTGGTGCTTCTATTAATGTCATGCCCTATTCGGTGTATGAATCATT